AGATTTTTCTCCAGCCAAAGGTAACCTGGACATTGGGGGCCAAGTTGGAAGCATTAAAGGGACTTGTAATGACCCAGAGTGTAACACAAACGTAACAAAATCCAAAATGTAAATAAATGTCATTTAATGCCTCCAACTTGGCCCCACTGTTCAATAATACTCAGTTGGAGATAAAACGTACTCAAAAATAGTCTTCAAAAGATAGCAAAACAGTCTGAACTTAAAGAGCAGATAGAGGTGAAATAAAAACCCAAACAAAGTATAATGACAAAATTTCCACAACGGAACAGGAGAAGTATTTACCACATTCAAGGAGGTAACAAGGCACAGTCTGTTGGAAGGATGCCAACCAAGATAACTTCAGACCAAAATAAAACATGCTTTGTTTCCAGCGTTTGCCAATATTCAGGTCCAAACTCTTATGCAGTTGTCACACCTGCATTCCATGAAGAGGATCATCACCCTCTCCTCCTGAGAAGACCATGTCTCTCTGTTATCCTCTCCTCCCTGTGTACCCGAGGATGGATAAGGGGTGGGCCTGGGTCCTGCTCTGCCTGCTCAGCTGGCCTCTGCCCTTTCCCAACCTCCTCCACAACCTCCGGAGCCACACTTCCACTCTCTGTCAGCTGTTCCTCCTCTCCCTCAGAGTCAGTCTCCACCAGGGGCATGACAGGACTTATGTGACTGTGTTGGCTTTGTGCCATGCCCCGGGTAATCACACATTACATTAAACTATAACATGTTCTCTTTTGCTCATGGAGATGTGTGAACTCAGTAATTAGCATTCTCAGTAAACTACATCTTGTTCAACAAATGTCTCTCGGAATCTGCCCAAACTTATGTCCACAACATCAATGACAGTGTCTAACCATCTCATCCTCTACTATCCCGCTCTCCTTTTGCCTTCAGTCTTTCTGAATAACAGGATCTTTTCCAATGAGTCTTCTCTTCTCATTTGATGGCCAAAGTATTTGAGCTTCAGCTTTAGGGATCAGGGTATAATGTCTTAAACAGAATAGAAAAACAGAGTGGAAGGGACCTTGGAGGTCTTCTAGTCCACCCCCCCTGCCTAGGCAGGAAACCCTACACCACTTCAGACAAATGGTTATCCAACATCTTTTAAAAAACTTTCAGTATTGGAAGTTTTTAAAAAGATGTTGGATAAATAATGCCTCAGGAATTTCATTTAGATCCCAATGACTAAATATATATATAAGCCCTCAACTCTTTGTTCTAAAAAAGATGAAACGTTCAAGTAAAGTTGGTTTTCATTCATGTGGTTTATTGTAGTAAGATCTGACTATGGATGAATTTGTGTGTGAGAAAAGAATTACTCTGTTCAAGTAATCAGTTTTGAACAGCCAAAGCAATATTCATAAGCGAAGGTAATTAAAGTTAAAGAAACCTAAGGGTGACTTCAAAATATTGTCTATTGCTTCTGGATAATTATTAGATTATAAGATCCAAATACGGGAGAGGGTAATGAGAATAACTGTGAGTCAATTGCACCACTGTAAGTAAAATAAGATTAAAGTATTAATCTTCTTTACGCTCGATTAACTAGAGGATTAAATGCAAAACAAGTCATCAGAATATGGGGATTGATTCTTTCATTGTTTTTTAGTAGGCAAATAGAATCTTCATTAGTAACTTGACTAACATTAGGGGAACTATTAATCATTTTTACTGCTCTTTGAAAGGGAGCTGAAGGCAGGTTGAATAAGAGATAGCAACTTATGCTCTATCATACTTCCTAGTGTTGTATTTATTAAGCATGTTTGTTTGATTTCAATACAAAAACCTATTGGCATAGCTTACCTGACTATAAGCTCCCATTCTCATTAGGAATGCAACAGTCAGAATTCTGAATTATCACAACTGAATTCCAAGGACTAGCTTATAGTTTATATTGCCTCAAGCAAGTTTGAGGGGGATGAGAAGCAGTAAATGTTGCAGAAAAAGGAGAAAAATTCCATAAGTACCATAATTTATTTAGTGAAGCTCCACCCTTGACTAGTTTAGATTCAAATCTGTTGAACATGAGAAATATCTCCCAAAGCCTTGTTAATTCATTTAAAAACAATAGCTTTGAAATAAGAACTTCTGATTGCAACTATTAGCCACTATGCACCACAGAATTTAACAGTTAAGTTCAACTACCATTCCTAGATGTACTAATCTACAAAAAAACAGATGGCACACTAGGACACACCATATAGCAGAAGAAAACACATACCAGCCGCTACCTCAACGCCCAATCCCACCACCACCCAGCACAGATAAACTCCATGGCCAAAACACTAATCACCAGAACCAAACGCCTGGCAGACAAGACACACATAAAGACTGAACTATGCACCCTGACTAAAGTACTGACAGCTAACGGCTTCCACAAAAGCAAAATCACCAGCTTGATCCACAAAAACACACTGAGACATAATGGAGACCTAGAAGATGAACAGACCTGTGGAACACCTGTCCTGCCCTACACAAGAAGTACTACAGACAAAATCAGTAAGATACTACACAGGCATCACATCAAGACTGCCTTCCAAACAGACAGAAAGATAGCAGCCATCCTTAGAAACCCCAAAGATAAAATTGACCTGGAAAACCAAGGCATATATGAAGTCCCCTGTGCATCATGCCCTGCCACATACATTGGACAGACCAATAGAAGAATAAGTACCCACCTAGATGAACACAAAAATGCAGTCAAAAACCTGGAACACACTTCCTCATTAGTCCAACACATGAAAGCCACAGGTCACAGCATCAACTTCAATGGCACCAAAACCCTAGCCGCTATAGAAAACCCCAGCCACAGAATTATCAGAGAAGCCATAGAGATTGAAAAAAGACCTGAAAGCATGAATAGAAGAGATGATTCCACCAGACTTTCAATTATTTGGAATCCTGCACTCACAAACAAAAAAATATCTACACCACAAGCCAGGCAAACACCTGGGCACAAACAGATCCCCCCTGATACCTCCAGCTCAAACACACCCCAACCAGGCACCCAGATGAAACCTAGCTTCCTAATAAATGATAGCCGTTCATTTACTCGGAGCCAAGCTGCACTAAAAGCCTCCAATACAGGAACAAATGTTGCCAGCCAATCAAGACAAAAAAAGCCACAAGACAGACAGAAGATATTAGAAACACCAATCAGGCAGAACACAGCAAACTCCAAGACCAATAAACACAGACCAAGATTCCCAACCAATCAGGATGAAGAAAAAAACATTCTGGCACAGCAGTAGGCTAGCTCCAAATTTAAAACTGAAACAGGTGTAAAAGTCTGACTCACAGACGAACACAATACAGAAGCCTGATGATGGCAGATGAGATTCTGCCGAAACGTTGCTACAACTTTAAAAGCACAACTATAATGACGTGCGAAAATACCCGAACAAAGCTGAATACCATATATCTCTCTCTCTGAATACCATATATCTATCTCTATCTCTATCTATCTATCTTTGGTCAGAAATATGTATGTATGTATGTATGTATGTATGTATGTATGTATGTATGTATGTATTCTTTTACATAGGAATATAAAATAATATTTTGTATGTGTGTTCTTTTTTTACTGCGTATTGTATGCCATCCAGAATCAAATATTGCGTGATGGACAGCTATATAAATTTAATTAATTAATTAATCATAATGTTCTTTGTTGCTTTGGCTTAATGTATTATGAGAATCTGACTACAGTATAGTGATTTCTGACTTACCGTGTTTTAAAAACTTAGGCAATTGTGTTTTGTCCCACCAGCTGCCTTGGTTTGATGCATTGTGTAAACTTGTACATTCAGATGATGTACAAGCCAGTTTCTATATTTACAGTTGAAAATCTGTTTAGTACCTGTATGTGTATAGAAATACCCATGGAATACTCTCTCCATGCTCTCAGAAGCTCTGGAAAAGTTGCCTATTGAACTAAAGAAAGAAAAGGCAAGAGATATGTGATCTTACCTAACTCCCTGCATGTATTTACGTGGGTCATGTTATTGGGAACCAAAATTATGGCTGTTAGGAATTGTAGTTAACTACCTATTTGTTTTCTTATATCAGTATTTCTCAACCATGGCAGTTTGCAGATGAGTGGACTTCAATTCCCAAAGTTCCCTCAACCAGCCATGAAGGCTGGGGAATTATGGGAATTGAAGTCCACGCATCTCCAAACTGGCCAAGGTTGAGAAATATTGGTTTCTATGATTTATATCACTGTCCATCTCACATAAGTGACTGTGGGTGGTTTACAAATCACAGAAAAACCTACAACGAAGAACTCCCAGTTTAGCCCAAGGATAAACAATAGCCCCACTCAGAGAAGAACACATCAATAACAGAACTCATCTATCCACTTGATCCAACTGTCTGGGGAAATAACCAAGTCTTCAGTGCCTTGCAAAATGCACTCTTCCAGATGGAGTGGACTGCAACTCTCTAAATTCCCAGACAGAGATTATTAACTTTACTGAGTCCATGCGGTCAGTTATTCAACATGCTACTACTTTTCATTAGCAATAAATGTATATACTTTGTGTCATTACTATTTAAACTCTGAACTTTATGAAAGTCGTTATGGAAGGAGCCATCAGAACTGTCATTATGGCCTGGTAATATATGAATAGCATTGTTTCCATCTATTACATCACAACAAGGTAGTTTCAGCCTCTGTTTATGATTCGTGCAATCCCTTTGTACATAAGGGTTTAAAAGCGTTTGGCTCTTGCCCCAAAATGACTTCCTCTTGCTATAAATCTCCTTATTTGTTTGTAACAAAGCTATTAACAAGCTGTGCTGGAGCCACAACAGACAAGAGATATATTACTCAAATAAATTAACAGGTGCCCGCAGAATAATTAAACCCATATTAGGTGCATCTCACTTAACCGAGCTTGTTTTGTAAAGAAGAAGGATTCCTTTTCATTACACCCCATGACCTGTAATGGTTGCTAATTTATAATCTTATGTTTCCTTGGCAGGGTGATATCCAGCAGATGCTGATTGTTGGTGATCCCAGAGCAGCCTATGATTACTGTGAGCACTACAGCCCAGACTGTGATTCTCCTGTGCCCAATGCTCCCCAGGCTCAAGAACCTCAAGTGGAGGAAGTAAGCAACGCGTCATTTTTTTTTAAAAAAAAATAGATTTATTATACTTTAGCAGGTATGCTGCATTCATGCTATTATGGAAGAGTGGCCTGGAGCTAAATGCCTCCCACTCTGAGTGTGAGATGTCTATCCTGTCGTACATGCATAAGGCTGCTTTTCGGAATAAATTCAAGACCCTCCTTCATTTAAATGGACAGAAATGTAATTTTTATGGGACATTGGAATGCTGGAAATAACAAGGAAACAAGAATATGTTCTCTTAGCTGAGGCCAGCTTACCGAAGGAGAGGCTCCCAAGTCTTTCACAGGCATTTTCAAATATGATTGAGATGCCATACTTGTCAGTGAAATGGAACTATCTCATATAGTAGAAAGAAAAGTTTAGAAAGCACTAGCAGGAAGAATGCATGTGGCTTTTGGCAGCATGCCCAGGCTTTCAATCAGCATGAGCGACTGCTCTTAGTTCCCTCTCGTTTGCTTTGGGGTTGACTTTTTTTTTCAAAAAAGGGAATGGTTGTTTTAAGTTTTCTGCATTGTTTTAATGGTGTGTACTTCCCCCACTCTTTTTGAAAGGCTTTGGTGATGGAGCACCCGCAGATTCTGAAGACAAGCTGTTCCATTGGTTGATTGGTCTCACTTTTAGGAAAATTCTCCTTAGTCTTAGGTTGCTTCTCTCTTTTTGTTTACCAAAAAGTAGAGAAGGGAACAAGGGGATCAGCCATTTTCTTTTCTGCTATCTTTTCAAATGAGGGAATTGCCTGAGGGGGATGCCCTCTCCCCCATGGGATTAGCAGGGAGATATGACTGCTTGGGCCATTGTGCCACAGAGCAGCAAAACAAAAAACACATACGCAAAAGGGAAGCTAGGAGTAACTTTGAATCTCGCCTGTGCATTCTTCCTGATTGCAAGCTGACTTCCAGACAACCTCTCTGGCTTCTTTAACATTTTACAGAGTCTTCCCATTGGCATTCATTGATTTAATTCCTGCTCCGTTTCTGGATTTTGTCATGGTATATTTAAAAAAAAAACAATACTGATTTTTCCCAAAACAGTCCCACTAAGCCCTAAACAAAATCTCCAATCTTACAAAATAAGAACTGGAAAAGATAGAAAAATGCTAGTTGCAAATGCTATTCCAACTTGACATTCTATACTTGTTTAAAAGGCTAACACATTTGTGAAATAAGGTTATGGCTAAGTTTATTAGATGCATAGAGGATTTTGAAAAATTGCTATCTGATAACCCCATTGATTACAACATACTAGTTAGATGTTTATGATAGATTCTTTAACTAGTTTGGAGTTCAGCCTACTGTATATCCAATCTGAGTAGGTTTTGATGGCATTTGTGTTTTATATTTAAGGTTAAATATGCACACTGCTTGCTTTATCTCTGAAGTCATGGGTGGCAGATTTTAGTGAGGGTGGACTTTCCTTCCTTCCCATCTGTCTGTCTGTCTGCCTGTCTACTCTGTCCATGAAATCTTATATTTATTTCTACAGTGTTTCCCATTAGCCCACAGGTCAAAGATGAGAGAAAGGTGAATAGTGAAAAAGATTTTTACAATGGAAGCAATTAAGACCACAAATACTAAATTTTCTCTTTATCCAGAGATAATTTTATCCAAAATCTAAAATTTGGATTGGAATTGGATTGGTGGGAGGATTTTTTTCATGCAGTGTATGAAATTTTCCAATAACCTATGCTTTTTCTCCATGTGAATACTCATAGAATATTACAGTTGGCCTAAGAAAAATAGAAACATTATCACTTCTTTGTATTGTTGTTTACAGCAATTCTGATTGTGATTAACTGATTTTGCAACCTGTCAATTTTATGAACCTTAATTTTGAGATTTAAAAATATATTTTGACATTTTAAAAAATATTTAATATTTAAAATGTATATTTCAAATGTGTTTAAGAAATATTTTTGAACAGGTGTTCAAAGCGACAAGCAGTAATATCTTTAAACCTCAAAAGAGAAAGAAAATTTGCATTTTCAAATTATGACATTGATTCATTTTGTACATCTCTATGACCTGCTCTCTTTCGACTCCTCAGGAGCCACAAAGAATTTAAATGTAAAATTTCTATTTTGTATTATTGGTTATTATGATGATGAAAAGTTGGGACTGCTCTAGACTGAATTAGAAGCTTCATTGCTTGTGATAGGAGGCTAATCTTTTGAGCTATTCAACAGTCTGTGTTTAATATTCAAAATATCTTAAGAGTGTGCAGTGATTTAAGTTTGCTATACAATCTGTTCCTACTATTCTGTTCACAGGTTCAGGTTTTGTTGCTTAAAAATTAGCATTGATACCATGCGTTAGATTTTAGTATCTGAAGGATTTAGTAATCCTCTAGTAATCTCATTATTATTTATGACATGCCTATTCTCCCTTTTATTAACAGATATATCATAATCTATGCAATAAAAATGCAATCCAGACAAAATAATAAAACTAATTTTTAAAAATGAAAACCATAATTAAGGCAGAGTAGCACTGACGTAGGCAGAGAAAAATCATGGAAAGACTGGGCAGGTGAAAAAGTTTTCCATTCAAATATTTCATGTTTGCTCAGGAAGATCTTTAAAATAAAAGTGGGCATCAAGAAAAGAAGATACTTCACATGAACCTTTATCTGTTGGCATTCCCCATTGGAGAATGCCGGTCCCTGAACTGTAGCTAAATAAATACAGGCAAAAGAATTGGCAGCAATATATCTGAGGATTAGATTGAGCTCCATATCTACAACCTATTTGTGAGCTTATAAAATCAAAGGAACACCAGGTGTTCTACTGTTTCTGTTACTAAGTAGTCCTCGAATTACAATCATTCATTTAGCATCTGTTAGAAGTTGCAGTGAAAAAATTGAATTACAACTGGTCCTCGCAACCATTACAGCATCACCATGGTCATGTGATTAAAATTCAGGTGATGGCTATTGGCATGTATTTGCAACGGTTGCAATGTGCCAGGTCATGTGATGGCCATTAATGACCTTCTTGGCACATTTCCAACAAGGAAAGTCAACAGAGAAATCTGGATTTACTGCAGAGATTTGCTTAACCGTTTGAGGCATTCAACCACAGGAGAAAAAGTTGTAACAGTAGGTGTCACTCAATTAATCAACCTCCATACATAGCAATGGAAATTCTTGCCCCAGCTGAGCTCATAAGTCAAGGACTATCTGTATTATAATTTTGAATGTGCCTTAAGAGTTGAAGCTCTGTCTCTTCTTTTGAAGGTTTTGAAAACTCTCAGTACTGACTTTTATAAACATCCTTTTTGCATTGTTCTTTGCATTAAACTAAGTCAAGACAAATCATATCACCAGAGTCCCAACTTGGAAGTCAGAGATGGGAAAAAAATTGGTCCAATAATGTACATTCTGGCCTTCTTCGAGCTGGATTGGAAGATGTATATGCATGTAAGCAAGGTTGAAAATGCCTCGTAAACATAAGGCTTCAATTCTTTATTTGGAACATAATTCCACCACTCAATAAACCTCAATACCTTGACTGAAGAAACTGATCTCCAAAGGGAAGTCTGTTTCATTTGTTTTGGCTTGGGCCTAGTTGCAGGGGACATCTGAAAGAAAGCAAACGTATGTTTAAATTAAAAATGTTTTATGGAAGGAAGAAGCGAAGGAAGTCTAGCTATATTTTCTAAAGGACTTCTTGCACTTTTTCTCCTCATTAATGTACTTTTCCTTTTCTCCCAAATCCTGCTGCCTTATCAGAGTTGTTTTTTCTTAGAGACACAGATCATATGAGACACCCTTTTAATATCTGACACAAAGGATGTGCATGAATTAGATATATTATCCTTAGTAAAGATAATAAAACGGTCTAGTTAAGGCAGCATTTCAGCGTATTTCCTGAAAGCAATTACAACAATGTCATCCATAAATATTTCAGTAACCTTTGATTCTTGTACAGTCTTTGGGAACTGACCTCTTCTAACCTCAAATTATTTAACGTAACAATTTGTGCCTTTGAGTCAAATTACATGCAGCAATGTAGAAAGGGCCCTTTCTTTCAGAAATGCTTTGGAATTCCTTCACTGGGGCAATGTGGAGGATGGGAGAACCTCAACACTCAGCTTGTCATTTTTAAGACTAAATGCACTGGATGATGTCATGTACTAATATGCATTATGGCAGGGAAATATCTTAAGGATATCTTAAGGAAAGAGAGTTCTCCGCTCCTCTACTCATTGCAGAATACCTTATGTCACCAGACTTGAAATTCTAGACCTAGAAAACCTAGGACTACTCTGCCTCCGGTCCAATCTAAATATAGTATATAAAATCATACATTGCAATGTCCTACCTGCAAGTGAATAGTTCAGCTTTAATCATAACAATACAAGATCACAGAATAGATACAAACTCAAGGTTAACCGCACCAAAGTTGACTGCAGAAAATACAACTTTAGCAACAGAGTGGTCAATGTTTGGAATACTCTACCTGACTCTGTGGTTTCTTCCCCAAACCCCAAAAACTTTAACCTTAGACTGTCTTCTGTTGACCTCACCCCCTTCCTAAGAGGCCTGTAGGGGGGAATGCATAAGCGCACCAATCGTGCCTACCGTCCCTGTCCTATTGTTTTTTTTTCTTAGAAGTATCTATCTCATGTATTCAAAACTATATTTATTCTTATACCTGTATCTTGTAAGCGATTGATAAATCAAATAAATACTAAAAATACTATTAAAAAAAACCCCTAACCTAGAACTAAGGAGAAATTTCCTGACAGTGAGAACAGTTATTTAGGGGAACAACTTGCCTCCAGAAATTGTGGGAACTCCAGCACTGGAGGTTTTTAAGAAGAGATAAGACAACTCCTGTCTGAAATGGAATAGGGCAGGGGTCCCCAACCTCCAGGCCATGGACTAACACTGGGCTGTAGTATGCCAGAAATAGGGCCACACAAATAAGCAAAGTTCCATCCATGGGATGCAGGCAGCACGTGAAACCACACCCCCTACAG